AATTCCAAAAAACCCAACCCCCCCCCATTATTCCCCGCCGGCCCCCTGCCCCCCCCCCCGCCACGTCCCCAAAGTCCTCGGGTGTTTGTACTCTCTCGCCCATTACATGCGCAAGCCCCATCAGAAAGCATTTGTCTACACCCTCTTTATTCACTTTCAAAGGGTTAAACAGCCTATTTATTGGGCTGTCAACAATCCGAGACCCAAATCACGAAGAAAGCCCCGTCCAGTTTTGTGCAGCGAGGAGCCTTGTCTTCCCTGGCCTGTTCTTGTTACTGTCATGTAATATCCATGACAATCGTGTTGGGCTTTTTTCGGGGCTCTGTGGGGCTCAATCTGAGGGGCCACTTTAAGCCAGGCGAGGCCTTTATTTATGTGGATTTGAAAGAGCCTTGAGACCGTCCTACCCCTCAGATCCCTCTTCAGCAGGTCACTGCTGTTTCAAAAGGATTTAAATGCGGAGGCTGCGACCAGCTCTTCCATCCCGTTCTAATAGACTGACATGAGCGTCGCAGTCTGAAAGACAGGGGAAAAACTGATGCAGATTTTCCCTAAGTTGGACTGATGCACAAAGCAGGGGGAGCAGTTGAGTGACGAGGTAACCCCTCACACCCTTTTTTCTACTTCTAACCAGCGCCGCACAAAGAGAGAGCCGTGGGAAGCTGCCCAGGAGCTGGGCCGGGCCATTTCCATGGACCATATGGAAATTTTGTTTTGTGTACAGAGAAAGTGTCTGATAACAGTGACCTTAACTGCCATATGTGGGCAGTGAATAGGCCAGAGGAAACCACTCAGCAATCTGACCCTCAGCATATGGACTATCGGCCCAAGGAGATTTTCATGGCCATCTCACTGGCAACCCCCGGGGATTTCATTAGATTTGTTAATGAATTGCTCTATTGACTTATATCTGAGCTCGCCTCATTAGAGGAAAAGAACGCAATTTTTATCTGTGTTTTCGTGAAGGGGACCAGAGTGGTCTTTCCTTTGTTGGACCGGTGGGTAATCATCCGGGATGTCACCAGCTTTGAACTAATTTATTGTGTCAGTTGAAGAAGGCCCTTCCTTGATTGTTGAGGCTCGAGCCCCATTCCAAGCCTCTTCATATCGATGTTTTCCTTGTGAGTGGGAAGTCTCGGAGGCTCTGGTTCTGTTTACAAATAGCTGAACATGCTGTTGTCCTGCTACAGTGCATCTTCAGGGCGCAGCAACAAGCTGATCGCAGGCATCCCCGCGGCGGCACCTGTCAGAAAACGGCTTTTCGAGGCCACAGTATGTCGTACCCAGGTTGCACATTCGCCTTCCTTGCCTCCCATCAGTGGCTGGAGCAACAGGGCTTTATGAACAGGCCCAGGGGCCAAGTGCCAGAACATCACAGCCAGAAGTACACCTCTTCTCCTCTGCCGTTTGAAGCCTTACAACTCTCATCATATCTGAGCTTTATTAGTAATGGCTCAATTGGGCTACTCAAGATGGGAAAGCTTGGGTTTTAAAGCAATAAGAGGCTATCAATTAACATTTTATTAGGGGTAAACCAATAAAGAACCCATTATGGCTAATAGTGAGTGTGGAATCACAAGGAATTAGCAAAATGAGATTCAATAAAATGGAAACCATAAAGATAAGCTTCTGAAGATTGGATCTGGTTTTTTGAGCTTTAGTCTCAAATAAACAAATGAATGACACCAACCAAAGCCTCCTATTGGCTCATCATCCCCAAGCCTGTGAAGGACAAGGAGAACTTCCTGAGTGAGAGTCAGGAAGTTTGGTCACATTGTACCTCAGAGGTGGTTTATCCCATGGGTGGGACGGGAGGGAAAAAACAGGCCTCTTCTTAGACTGTGAAAGCCTTGAGCTCAGTACTTTTGCTGTGTGTCTTCCTGAGACAGCATATGAGTCCCCACACTTGTGCAGTATATCCCCTATGGTCCTTACTCATGGCACATGGAGAAACCAAAACATTGAGACAAGCCAAAACCTCCTATTGGTGTCACAGTGAAAATCTGGAATTCTCACAGGTCCTGCAGCAGCAGCAGCGATGAGATGTTACAGGTGAGAATCTATCTTGTTATGGGTGTGGTGAAGTGTGGCCTGGGGTCACTGTTCATTCTTCACCGAGTTGGAAGTTAGAAAAATTAGGTTTTCCAGGTAGGTTCTACCCTGTGTCCTCTGTTCTCTTCATGTTCTGTTGTGCAAAGAGAGAGGCACATTAGGAGGGCTGACACTCACGGGAGATGCAAAGAAAGAAGAACTCTCACATTGTGAGAGAGGGGTTCCACAGCATTTGTCTGGGTCCCAGCAGAATGTTCATGGAATGGAGTCCTGCAAGCTCTGAAAGGTTCTATGTGTAACAGTTCAGCAGAGGTGGTAAGAGAATACTCTGAGTTAGGAGAATATAAGGAAGTCTTGGCTAGGTCTTTCACCAAGAATGTTGTTTTTATTAAGATAGGATCATTGAGCTGTATGCTCTGAGATCACACATGCATAAGGTTGACTATTGGTTGCCTTTTTGTAATAGAAATACCACTTGGCTGGGTATAAAATTTTTTCTCCCTTAAAAATTCCACAGATACCCTTTCATTGTCTGTTGGCAATGAGTTTCACATTTATTTTACCATTATGGCTGTATTTCAACATGGACCATCTAAAAAAATTTTTAAGGAGTAAAGATGACTGTTTCAGAATATATTTTATTTTCAAAAGTATTTTCCTGTTGCTTTTATGATGAAATGACAACTTGACTGGGTGTAATTTACTTGAGTCACACATTCTTTTCCTCAGAACTCATAGACATCCCCCAGTCATTTATTGGCTGTGAACCTTGTTCCTCATCAGGATGATTTTTCTATTCCCAATGCCTTGAAGTGGTTCCTGGAGGCCAGAAAATATTTCTTTTCCCTCGAAGTCTGAGGAGTTGACCAAGGAATGTCTTTCTCAGTGTCATCACTTTTCCTGAGTATTTCCTGGAATACAACATACCTTGTGAACAGATTTTGTTTTTTCTTCATTTCACAGAAAATCTATGCTATCATATCTTAATATTTTGGGTTCCATTTGAGGTATTCTTTAATTCTAAGCCACTACTTATCCTTTTCTCACACAGCTTCAATAGGCCTTGAATCTATGGGTTATTAACACTAGCTACCAAGTTATAGTCTCCTGCATACCCCAGACTATAAGCGCCTCAATGGAAGAAAATCATCTTATTTATCTTTGTTTCCTTCCTCAGACTCTGGTACATAATAGATCCTCAATACCCAAAAAAGGATTTAACCCGCATGTTACCTTGTCAGTTAGAGTTTCAACTTTATTTTGAGAGAAACCCTTGGAGGGTTGCTTGTGGGTGGCAGTGATTTATATGATCTGACATGAACACATCCCCTCAAAGGGTGATGGGCTAAAGGTGAGGGTGGAGCTCGTACCGAATGGTGGTGGTATCTGGGAATGGCCAGAGATGCTGGTTTAGTAGGAAAAGTACATGGAGTGTAGACATGAATATTTTAGACTCCCTCCAGTAGAAAAACTAAAATTATTTGCTCACCTCTACTGGAGAGCAATTAGGTAATGGAAAGGAACATGACCTTTATTTCTAGGAAAATACTGGGAAAGTTTTTATTATTTGTTAGTACATGCTGGTAATGTATAATGATTACAAGCCTCATGGGGAGTTGGTCCAAGCATGTGATACATCTTAGGGCTTTTTTATCCCCTTCTCTGCACTTTCCCATATTCTCCATCTTTTAGTCCCCTTCCCTTTTTCAAAAGATTTATCCTATTTTCTATCTTTTATTTTGCTCTGTTTGATTGTCCATAGAGATCAGCCCTGTCTGGGCAGAAAAGGGCAGACCATGGGTCTGGAGAGCCCATTTCCCTCCAAGGAGACAACCTCCCTTGTTATCAAGTAAATCAAATTAAATT